TCCAAATAAGGTCATTTTGAGGTACTAGGGTTTAGGATGTCAACATATCTTTTGGGGGACACAATTTAACCCATAACAATACCTAATTACTTACTAAGAGATCCTGTGTCAGTTGTTTTAGAATATTGCTAAATTCATTAAAAAATATATCAACTGATTCAACTCTGTAATTTGAAATAGAGAAAAGAGACAAATGACATCATATACTGTTAAAATATCTGCAGTGACAAAATTTTGCATATCGACCAGGCCTTAATGGGGACTAGCATTTTTGACTTTAATAAAAGCTCTGCAGTCAATATTGTTTATATTTTTGATAAGATATTTGGCTGAGCCACTGATTTTAATCTCATTTTCTTGAATATATTTCCAAATCTATTCAGCTTTCTACATAGAGTTTTCATATTTGCTTTTAGAAGTGAGAAAAATAAAGTTAGAAAAAAGAAGCTCATCTAAGTTAAACACACTCTGTGACTACCTTCTTTCTCTTTTTCTTACTGAAATGTGTAAAATGAAACTGTCTTCTTTCAAGACGAGGCTTAAGAATCTTATTAGATTTATAAGGACTTCCGAGTGCTGTAATAAATCTGCCAGCACCATCTTTAATTCAGAGCATTGTTGCTACTGTCTTGCTGTAAAGTATAACTTTCTGAGCTGCTGCTCCCAATTTTTGGTGTTAGTGTTAGAGAGAAATTAAAAGTTAAAAATAAACAAGTTTTTTTTTTTTTTTCTTTTCTTTTTTGTTTTTTGAGATGGAGTCTCACTCACTCTGTCGCCCAGGCTGGAGTGCAGTGGCATGATCTCAGTTCACCGCAACCTCCACTTCTTGGGTTCAAGCGATTCTCCTGTCTCAGCCTCTAGAGCAGTTGGGACTGCAGGCGTGTGCTGCCATGCCCGGCTAATTTTTGTATTTTTATTAGAGACAGTGTTTCAGCATGTTGGCCAGGCTGGTCTCAAACTCCTGGCCTCAAGTGATCTGCCCGCCTCGGCCTCCCGAAGAGCTGAGATTACAGGCGTGAGCTATAAATAAGATATCTAGAAAGCAGACGACAGCTAGGGACTAAGAAGTCATCTAATTTAATCCCCTGATGTGCAGTTGAAGATATAGAGGCCCAAAGGTTACTGATGGTGACTTAGCTAGCTCGGGCATAGCAAAACTGGATCTACAGCCTTGCTCCAATGACTCACATTGTCTCTTCCATATCTTATTCCAAAGTTGTTCAAAAGATATATGGCTAGCACTGAAACGCATCCTTTAAATGTGTGAATTGTATATGTGAATTATATCTCAATAAAGCTGCTGAAGCAAAGATAAATTGATGGGTTTCAGAGATATGGTAATGAAAGCACAATATGCTTAAGAAACATCTGTTCTACGTAATAGTTTATTTTTTAATTGCACAGTAGTACATGGTCATTTGAAAACAGCAACTTGCCCCAATTCTAAGGTTTAAATAAATTAGTTTAGAATTATATTTTATTTATAGCATTATCAACTTCATAGAAGTAGAGGATAATTTAGAGAAGGAAAATTGTTTAAGAAGCAATCTTAAAGCTGGGCACAGTGACTCATGCCTGTAATTCCAGCACTTTTGGAGGCTGAGGCGGGCAGATCACTTGAAGCCAGGAGTTGGAGAACAACCTGGGCAACATAGTGAAACCCCATCCCTACTAAAAATATGAAAGTTCCCACTTGAACCTGGGAAGTGGAGGTTGCAGTGAGCTGAGATCATGCCACTGCACTCCAGCCTGAGTGATAGAATGAGTGAGACTCCATCTCAAAAAACAAAACAAAATAGAAAATACAAAAATTAGTGCATGCCTGTAGTCCCAGCTTCTTGGGAGGCTGAGGCAGAAGGATCACTTGAACCCAGGAAGTGGAGGTTACAGGCACGCACTCCAGCCTGGGTGACAGAGCGAGTCACCGTCTCAAAAAATAAATAAAATAAAAATTAAAAAAAGAAGTAGTCTTAAAACATTTTTGACAGAAAACCTGTACACATTTATAGTACTAAATTAAAATGCAAACTCTGAAATAATGCTTTGTCATGGAGCATGGAGTACTGTACTGTAAGTCCATTCTCTAGAGGACAAATTAGAATAATAGGAACTTTAGTGTTTTTCCCTGTTACTGCTTTCCAGATCTCTTATTAATAATTCATAGACCTCCCAAATTTTTCTTCCTTATCTTTATCATCTGTTTTTCATCCTTTTGTTTTAATGTTAGAAAAAATAATCAGTTTTATCGAGGTATAATTTGCATCCAATTAAGTTCACTCATTTTAAGTGTATTATAGTCCATTGATTTTTGACAGTGTATATAGTCATATATCCGTCACCGCAATCAAGATGTGGATGATTTCTGTCATTCCCAGAACTTCCCTAGTCCCTTCTGCTGTCATTCCCTTCCTCCAGCCCACAGCCTTGCAGTTTTTGTTAATTTATAATGTAACATAAACAGAACCATATCGTATGTAGTCTTTTGTGTCTCTCTTCTTTCATTTAACATAATCCTCATGAGTTTCTTCTTGTTGTTGTGTATATCAAGTTTGTTCCTTTTTATTGCTGATTAAAATTCCAAAGCTATAATGTATTTATCCTTTCACCAGGGGATGGACAATTGGGTTGTTTCCAGTTTTCATCTCTCTTGGAAAAAATACCCAGGTGTGGAATTACTGAGTCATATGACTGGGGATGTTTCAGTGTTTTAAGAAACTGTCAAATGTTTTTCCAACCTGGTTGTACCATTTTATATTTGCCACAGCACTATATCTCCATGCCAAATTTTTATGCTGTTTTCTTGAAGAAATTTTATAATTTTGGTTGTTCTGTTCAGGCTCATGATCCATTTTGAGTCAATGTTAGAATGTGATGTAAAACAAGGATCAGCATTCTTGTTCATTTTTTTTTCACATATGTATGTCCAATTGTCCCAGCACTATTTGTTGAAAAGGCTGTCCTTTCCCTACTGAAATACCTTGACACTTTTTTAAAAATTGAGTATATATGTATGGCTCTAAGAGTTTGTTTCTACACCTTCTACTCCATTCCATTGATCTAGTTGTCTACCTTTATGCCAGTACGACATTGACTTAATTATTGTAGATTTATGATAAGTCTTGAAATCAAGTTTAGGTCCCTCTGGCTTCCTTAATTTCTCCCAGCAATGCTTGTAGCTTGCAGCGTAATGGTCTTGAGCATATTTTGTTAAATCAATCCTTCGATATTTCATGTTTTCTAGTGCTATAGTAAATGATATTGATTTTGGGGGTTTATTTATTTATTTAAATTGACAAAAGTTGTGTATGTTATATGCAACACACTGTTTTGAAATATGTGTATGTTGTAAAATGGTTAAACTGAGCTAATTAACATGTATTATCTCACATACTTATTTTTTGTGGTTAAAACACTTAAAATCTATTCTCAGCAATTTTCAAGAATATAATACATTGTTACTTACTATAGTTACAATGTTGTACAACAGACTTCTTGAATTATTCCTCCTAACTAATATTGTGTATCTTTTGGCAACATAATTATTGCTTTTTTAAAAAATTTCAATTTTCACTAGATTGTTGCTAATATGTCGTTTTGTTCCTGTTTTCCCTATTTCCTGAGAGGTTCTTCAACTTCATCTTCTAACACTATTAATGAAAAAACTGCAATTAAACAATTATTTTTTAGCAAGGTAAAATACATATGACACAGAGTTTATTATTTTAACAATTTTTCAGTGGCATTAAGAATATTCACATTTGCTGTATAACCATCAACACCATCCATCTCCTGGAATTTTTCATCATCTCATAGCCACTTTTTGGCTATTGAGAATAACATTGCTACGAACATATCATTAGTTTTAAGTTATAAATTCTTTCATGTTCTCTTTTTTATTTTTATTGTTTCTGTTTTATGGATGTAATACCTTCTTTTATCTCACTCTAAATAGGTGTTTTGTTTTGTTTTGTTTTGTTTTTTTCAGATGAAGTTTTGCTCTTGTTGCCCAGGCTGTAGTGCAGTAGCATGATCTCTGCTCACTGCAACCTCCACCTCCCGGGTTCATGCAACTCTCCTGCCTCAGCCTCCCGAGTAGCTGGGATTACAGGTGCCTGCCACAATGCCTGGCTAATTTTTTGTATTTTTAGTAGAGATCGGGTTTTGCCATATTGGCCAGGCTGGTCTTGAACTCTTGACCTCAGATGATCCACCTGTCTCAGCCTCCCTAAGTGCTGGGATTATAGGCGTGAGCCACCACGTCTGGCCAGTTACTCTAAATATTAATATAGTTTCTTTGTTATTTTCTTCTGTTCTCTGTATGTTTCTGCTTCTTCAAGTTTTTTTAGTCTATTCGTTTTCATTCATTACTTTTATCGAATGTCAGGTGGTTCTTGTTTTTTGTTTCGTGTGTAAGGGTATAGCCTTAAAAGTACGTATGGGAAGCTCTGTGGGGAGAAGGAAGAAGACGAGAGGATGTAAATGTGAGGCCGATCAGGCCTTTTTACTGATGTACTCTACATGCCAATATTTTGAAGAATTTTCTCTGGAGCCATTTTGTTTCACCATATAAGAATTCTCCCATTTCCTATCTAGGGGAAAATGGGGCATAGGAGACAGCAGGAGTTGGGGGAACAGGCTTTTTGGCAGTAGGATGGGGATATGGGGACTAAGAGTTCCACTTTTACTTAATCCATTTGTTTCCAATCCTGGTACCTCCAAGAGCTCGGCTCCTAGGAGTTCTGTGACACAAAATGACTTGCTTCTAGTTGATATTGCTCCTTGAAAGATATTTAGGTTTTAACTTCATCCACTTTGCTAAGTCAGTAACTGCTCTTCCATTTGCTTTTGTTCTTCCATAAATGTGTTGAAATATCTTCTCCATTGTTGTCTCCTCTCTTATTATCTTTGTCCTTGTTGGTTAATATCATTTAAAAAATTGCTTTACTCACATTTTAACAGGGTTTTGGGATGGAGAGGAAATGAATACATGACACGCCACATTTAACTCATTAGATTAAATAACATTTTATTCATAAATGATGAACATTTCCTTTACCACTTGACAGGAAAAATTCTCCTCAGGACAATAAATAAAACTAATATAAATGAAAATTCTAGATGACAATAATTTTTTAGTAATAAAGGTAAATGAGTTTCAACAAAGACAGTTACGTCATATACTGTAGAACTTCTTGTGATGATTGTGTTTCTGGGTTCTGTGGATAAAAGCAGGCAACAAGTGAAATAGGAGTAATATGGATCTATTGATTTTTTAAAATTCTATAACTCATAAATAAAAGTAACATATAAGAGAATCACTATCTGGTTAATTTTGTAATTTAATGGAGCTTGCTTAATCTCGTATTACTTTTCTTTTCGCCATTTCCTTTTCTTTAGGGTCTTCATTATGAATGGTTACAGGAAGAGGCAAAAGTCCAGTAGGCAATTCTGCTTGTTATTGGCTAAGAGGCTGGAGTCACTGGCTTACTGAAGATTTTCAGGCAATCTGTAGGCTTAAATTATTGGTGCTGTACCTATTACTATTGATTACTTTGTGGTAAAAATACAATTATACAGAACACTTACTGTAATACTATTTTGAGTTCTGAGTTTAATATTTAAGGTGGATAGAGAAGACAAAAAGGAGCACATATGTAAAAACTAAAACACTGGACCTGTGAAGAAAAGCTAAAATGAGTTTTTGGTTTTGTTTTGCTTGGAAAAATAAAGGTTAAGTGGAGATAATGTGGTTCAGGTACAAGAGGTGTTACATATTCATGTTTTCCAGGGCTGCATTCTTAGCTGTTTTCTCCCATGAGTAGCAGACAGTACCCAGCAACCTGCTTGGTCACCTTTCCCCAGCCCCACCATTTCCCATCAAACCTTGACCCATGAAGGCTAACTAACAGATTTAGGTACCTTGCTCTCCAGTCTAGACTTTCATCTGAAGTCCAGCCCTGGTTTTCCAGCTGCTCTCCGATTACTTCTACTTCAATGTTCTGCAGTCAACTCAAGTTTAGTGTACCTCAAAACGTAGGTCATTAGTCTTCCCAGCATTATTCATCCAAACTGTGCTCTCTCCTCAGAGTTCTTTTCTTTGATAATGGCAGCACCAATTTCCCTTCTCACCCAAGTTCAAGCCATCAAATCAGGTTTTCTTTCTTCTTTTACATTAGCCCCTCCATCCTATTAGTCATCAGGTTCTATGAATTCACCTTCTTCCATGTATTTTAAATTTATCTTTTCCTCTCTATTTCCTGTGCTCCTAGTTTAGGCTCTTATCAACTTTTGCCAGAATTAGAAGCAGTAATTATGTTTCACTGAAACCACACTTGTTATAATGAAGCTATAAATGAAGGCAATGGTTACCTGTACTATTATAATTGCATTTTCAGCATTTGGCTTCCTTACTCTAGCACCCAAAATCCGTCCTCTGTCACTGTTGTTTTTGTAAATTACTTATCAGGTCATCCTACCACACTGCTTCAAAAGACCTTTAATAACTCTGGGAGACTAATGCTTCTGCTCTTCAGCATGGCCCTTGAGACCTTCAGTTTGTACTTAGCTTATTTTTTCTGGTTTTATTTTCTATCACTTTGGATATTTCTAGCTATAGCAGAGATCTCTCTGTGTCTTGAATCTTTTTTTTTGTTCTTAAAAAAAAAAGAAAGAAAGAAAAAAAAAAAAGAATGAAGGAGAGGAAGAAAGAGAAAGAGGAAGAGGGAGAGAGAACGGGGGTGTTGCTTTATTGCCCCGGCTAGAATGCAGTCTAAAAATGGGTATGCCTATAATTGTGCTTACTAATAGAGACATGAAAAAAAAATGAGGGAAGAAAATAACAAACAAGCAGCCAACCAATATTTCATTGAAACCTGTAGATAGATGTGATATGGTACTGATAAGAGTGTATATTTTGTGTATTTAAAGTGGAGAGTTCTATAAATGTTAATTAAGTCTACTTGTTCCAGATCTGAGTTCAAATCCTGGATATCATTGTTAACTTTCTGTCTCATTGATCTGTGTAATATTGATGTTGAAGTCTCCCACTATTATTGTGTGGGAGTCTAAGTCTCTTTATAAGTCTTATATATCTGGGTATTCCTGTATTGGGTGCGTATATATTTAGGCTCTTTAGCTCTTCTTGTTACATTGATCCTTTTATCATTATGTAATATCCTTCTTTGCTTCTTTTGATCTTTGTTGCTTTAAAGCAACTCTTGCTTTTTATTTATTTATTTATTTATTTTTGCTCTCCATTTGGTTGGTAAATCTTTCTCCATCCCTTTGAGTCTTTGTGTATCCTTGCATGTGAGATGGGTCTGGATGCAGCATACTGATGGGTTTTGGCTTTTTTTGCCTGTCTGTGTCTTTGGATTAGGGGATTTAGTCAATTTAAATTTAGAATTAATATATGTGAGTTTAATACTGCCATTTAATGTTAGCTGGCTGTTTTGCCTATTAGTTGATGTAAATTCTTGATTATGTTGATGCTCTCTACTTTTTGGTATTTTTTAGAAAGGCTGATACTGGTTGTTCCTTTCTATGTGTAGTGGTTCTTTCAGAAGCTCTTGTAAAGCAGGCCTGGTGGTAATGAAATCTCTGAGTGCTTGCTCGTTCACAAAAGATTTTATTTTTCCTTCACTTGTGAAGCTTAGTTTGGCTGGATGTAAAATTCTGGGTTGAAAGTTCTTTTCTTTAAGGATGTTGAATATTGGCCCCCACTCTCTTCTAGCTTGTAGGGTTTCTGCTGAGAGATCTGCTGTGAGTCTGATGGGCTTCCCTTTATGGGTAACCTGACCTTTCTCTCTGGCTGCCCTCAGTATTTTCTCCTTCATTGCAACCCTGGTGAATCTGACGATTATGTGCCTTGAGGTTGGTCTTCTTGAGGAATATCTTTGTGGTGTTCTCTGTATTACCTGGAGTTGAATATTGTCCTGCCTTGCTAGGTTGGGAAAGTTTTCCTGAATAATATCCTGAAGCATATTTTCCAACTTGGATTGATTTTCTTTGTCACATTCAGGTACACCTATCAAGTGTAGATTAGGTCTTTTCACATAGTCCCATATTTCTTGGAGACTTTGCTCGTTCCTTTTTATCCTTTTTTCTCTAATCTTGTCTTCTCGTTTTATTTCATTAAGTTGGTCTTCGACTTCTGATATCTTTTCTTCTGCTTGATCTATTCGGCTGTTAAAACTTGTGCATAGTTCGCGAAGTTCTCATGTTGTGTTTTTCAGCTCCATTAATTCACTTATATTCCTCTCTAAATTGTGTATTCTTGTTGTCATTTCGTCAAACCTTTTTACAAAGTTCTTAGTTTCTTTGCATTGGGTTAGAACAAGTACTTTTAATTCACAGAAGTTTCTTATCATCCACCTTTTGAAGGCTGCTTCTGTTAATGGAACACACTCGTTCTCCATCAGGCCTTGTTCTGTTGCTGATGAGGAACTGTGATCCCCTGTAGAGGGAGAGGCGTTCTGATTTTGGGTATTCTCAGCCTTTTTAGGCTGTTTTTTTCCTTTCTTTATAGATTTATCCATCTGTGGTCTTTATAATTACCGTCTTTATAATTGGGTTTCTGAGTGGACGTCCAACTTGTTGATTCCCAGTGCTAAAATCTGAGCAACTCACTGCGCCGGCCCAAACAGCGGCATTATGATTGATGGTGCTTTTCTGACTCTGCACCAAGAACCGCCGCACCAAGGCAGTGGCAAAACTGCCTCACTGGCCACAAGAGTCGGGCTGGCGACCTGTGGGGCTCCTCTGCTGGGAATCTCCTGGTGCGTGAGCAACAAAAATTCATCTGAAAATGTGGCGTCCTCTCATTTTCTGCGCTTTCACTGGGAGCTACAATCCCGAGCTGCTAATGATCAGCCATCTTGGATCTCTCTCTCTGTGTCTTGAATCTTTATCGAAGTTTCATTTCACCCTGCCTCTGTAGATGTTATTCCCTCTTCTTTAAACGCCTTTTTTTTTCTATCTTAAAAGATCCAGTATCAACTTTTATGAGGCTTTATTCCAAATCCTGCTGGAATATGTCTCTCTCTCTCTCTTTCCCCCCACACACAGAGGTATAAAGTAGCCCTCCTTATTTTGGGGGATACATTTCAAGACCCCCAGATGCCTGAAATCGTGGCTATTACTGAACCCTATGTATATAGTCTGTTTTTTCTTATACATACATATCTAAGACAAACTTTCACCCTTGCATTTACTTTATTTTAGAGACAGGGTCTTACTCTTTCACCCAGGTGGGAGTACAGTGGTGTGATCAGGGCTCACTGTAGCCTCAACACCCCCCCAGGCTCAAGCCATCCTCCCAACTTAGTCTTCCAAGTAGCTGTAACTACAGGCCCATGCCATCACACCCAGCTAATTTTTGTATTTTTTGTAGAAACCAGGTTTTGCCGTGTTGCCCAGGCTGGTCCTGAACTCCTGATCTCAAGCGATTTGCTCATTTCCTGCCTCTCAAAGTGCTAGAATTACAGATATGAGCCACCACACCCGGCTTACCTTTTCGTATGACTTCTCTTTGGCATATCCAAATTGTCAGCATCTCTACCTTCACGCTTTGGCACTACTATTACGTAAAACAAGGTTTACCTGAATGCAGCACTGTGATACCATGACAGCCCATCTGATCCCAGAGATGGCTGCTAAGTGACTATCACGAGGGGAGGGCAGGGAGCATAGACAGTGTGATCGCTAGACAAAGGGATGATTCACCTCCCTTGAGGGACTGAAGCGGACCGCTTGAGATTTCATCATGCTACTCAGAACAGCACACAGTTTAAAACTTTTGTTTATTTGTGGAATTTTCATTTTAATATTTTTGAACTGCAGCTGACTGAGGGTAACTAAGACCTTGGAAAGTGAAAGCATAGATTAAGTGGAACTACTGTGTGTGTACAGACATATATACACACACACAGACACATACATGTATGTATAGATACATAAACCTATATCATATACATATATGTACATATATGTATAGATCTCTATATATACATATTTATAGATATACATTCTTATATAAACTAGACTTTACATTCTTTGACATTAGGAAATGTGTTTTATCTATTACTTATCAGAAGACCCTAGATGGTCAATAGGTTTTAGTTGAATCAATGAATGATGTTTAAAGACAGTGACCGGCCGGGCGTGGTGGCTCACGCCTGTAATTCCAGCACTTTGGGAGGCCGAGGCAGGTGGATCA